CTATAAAACTACAAAAAAATTAACTGGGCATGGTGGCGCGTGCCTGTAATCCCAGCTACTCAGGAGGCTGAGGCAGGAGAATTGCCTGAACCCAGGAGGCGGAGGTTGCGGTGAGCCAAGATCGCGCCACTGCACTCCAGCCTGGGTAACATGAGTGAAACTCCGTCTCAAAAATAAATAAATAAATAAATAAATAAATAATAAAAAAAAAGAATAGTTTAAGTCATTCTGGCTGAACGCAGTGGCTCACGACTATAATCCCAGCACTTTGGGAGGTGGGCAGACCACGAGATCAGGAGTTTGAGACCAGCTTGAACAACATGGTGAAACCCCATCTCTACTAAAAATACAAAAAAAAAAAAATAGCCAGGTGTGGTGGTGTGTGCCTGTAATCCCAGCTACTCAGGAAGCTGAGGCAGGAGAATCACTTGAACTCAGGAAGCAAAGGTTGCAGTGAGCTGAGATTGTGCCATTGCACTCCAGCCTGAGCGATAGAGTGAGACTCTGTCTTAAAAAAAAAAAAAAATAGTAGCCATTCTGACTGGCGTGAGATGGTATCTCATTGTGGTTTCGATTTGCATTTCTCTAATGATCAGTGATGCTGAGTTTTTTTATATGATTCTTGGCTGCATGGATGTGTTTGTTATTGTTGTTGCTGTGGTTGTTTGAGGCAGAGTCTCACTCTGTCACCCAGGCTGGAGTGTAGTGGCACAATCTCAGCTCACTGCAACCTCTGCCTCCCAGGTTCAAGCAATTCCGCTGTCTCAGCCTCCTGAGTAGCTGGGATTATAGGTGTCCACCACCATGACCAGCTAATTTTTCTATTTTTAGTAGAGACCGGGTTTCACCATATTGCCCAGGCTGGTCTCAAACTCCTGACCTCAGGTGATCCATCTGCCTCAGCCTCTCAAAGTGCTGGGGTAATAGGCATGAGCCACACACCAGGCCTGTATGTGTTCTTTTAAAATGTGTTCATGTCCTTTGCCTACCTTTTAATGAGGTTGTGTTTTTTTTTTTCTTGTAAATTTTTTTAAGTTTCTTATTGATGCTGAGCATTAGACCTTTGTTGAATGCATGGTTTGCAAAAATTTCCTCGCATTATGTAAGCTGTGTGTTCACTGTATTGATAGTTTATTTTGCTGTGCGGTGCTCCAGTTTAATTAGATACCATTTGTCAATTTTAGCTTTCATTGCAATTGCTTTTGGCATCTTCATCATGAAATCGTTCCCCATGCATACGTCCTGAATGGTCTTACCTAGGTTTTCTTCCAGGGTTTTTATAGTTTGGGTTTTACATTTAAGTCTTTAATCCATCTTGAGTTAATTTTTGAATATGGTGTAAGGGGTCCAAATTTAATCTTCTGCATATGGCTAGCCAGTTATCCCAGCACCAATTTTCAAATAGGGAATTCTTTTCTCCATTGCTTTTGTCAGGTTTGTCAAAAATTGGATAGTTGTAGGTGTGCAGTCTCATTCTGGGTTCTGTATTCTGTTTCACTGGTCTGTGTGCCTGTTTTTGTACCCGTACCAAGCTGCTTTGGTTACTGTAGCCCTGCAGTATAGTTTGAAGTCAGCTTTGTAAGTTTTGCTTTGGATTTCGTTGGCTATTTGGCCTCTTTTTTTTTTTTTTTTTTTTTTTTCTCTTTTTTTTTTTTATTTTTTTTTTTTTTTTTTTTTTTTTTTTTTTTTTGGCTCCATATGCATTTTAAAATAGTTTTTTTCTAGTTCTGTAAAGAATGTTAATGGAAGATTAAAAGGAATAGCATTTAATCTATAAATTGCTTTGGGCAGTATAGCATCTTACTTTTACTGATTCTTCCTATCTATGAGCGTGGAGTGTTTTTCCATTTGTTTGTGTCATCTCTGATTTATTTAAGCAGTAGTTTGTAGTTCTCCATGTGGCGATCTTTAACCTCCCTAGTTAGCTATATTCCTAGGTATTTTATTCTTTTTGTGAATGGGAATTTGCTCCTGATTTGGCTCTTAGCTTGACTGTTGTTGATGTATAGGAATGCTAGTGATTCTTGCACATTGACTTTGTATCCTGAAACTTTGCTGAAGTTGTTTATCAGCTTAAGCTTTTGGGCTAAGATGATGTGGTCATCATCTTAGATCCCAGATATAGGATCATGTCATCTGCAAACAGGTATAGTTTGACTTCCTCTCTTCCTGTTTGGATGCCTTTATTTCTTTCTCTTGCCTGAGTGCCCCGGCCAGAACTTCCAATACTATGTGGAATAGGAGTGGTGAGAGAGGGCATCCTTGTCTTGTGCTGGTTTTCAAGGGAAATTCTTCCAGCTTTTGTGCATTCAGTATGATACTGGCTGTGGATTTGTCACAGATGGTTCTTATTACTTTGAAGTATGTTCCTTCAATACCTAGTTTATTGAGAGTTTTTAACATGAATGGATGTTGAAATCTATTGACGTCTTCTGTATTTATTGAGATAATCATGTGGTTTTTTACTTTAGTTCTGTTTATGTGGTAAATCACATTTATTGATTTGCGTGTGTTGAACCAACCTTGTATTTTAGGAATGAAGCCTACTTGATTATGGTGGATATGCTTTTTGTGTTGCTAAATTCAGGTTGCCAGTATTTTGTTGAGGATTTTTGCGTCGATAGTGGCCTGAAGTTTTCTTTTGTTGCAGTTGTATCTCTTCCAGATTTTGGTATCCGGATGATTCTGGCCTCACAGAATGAATTAGAGAGGAGTCCCTCCTCCTCAATTTTTTGGAATACATACCAGCTCTTCTTTGTACATCTGATAGAATTCAGCTCTGAATCCATCTGGCCCCGGGCGTTTTTTGGTTGGTAGGCTATTTATTACTGCCTCAATTTCAGAACTAATTATTGGTCTGCTCAGGGATTCAGTTTATTCCTGGTTCAGTCTTGGGAGGGTGTATGTCTCCAGGAATTTACCCATTTCTTCTAAATTTTCTAGTTTATGTGCATAGAGATGTTCATAATATTCTCTGATGGTTGTCTGTATTTCTGTGGGGTCAGTAGCAATATTCCCCTTGTGGTTTCTGATTGCGTCTACTTGAATCTTCACTCTTTTCTCCTTTATTAGTCTAGCTACCAGTCTATTTATTAATTTTTTTTTTTTTTTCAAAAAATAGGCTCCTAGATTCATTGATCTTTTGAATGGTTTTTCATGTCTCAGTCTTCTTCAGGTCAGTTTTGATTTGGGTGATTTGTTGTCTTCTGCTAGCTTCGGTATTTGTTCTTGTTTTTCTAGCTTAATTGTGATGTTAGGTTGTTAATTTGAGATGTTTCTAACTTTTTGATGTGGGCATTTAGTGCTATAAATTTTCCTCTTAACACTACCTTAGCTGTGCCCCAGAGATTCTGGTATGTTGTATCTTTGTTCTCATTAGTTTCAAAAAACTTCTTGACTTCTTCCTTAATTTCATTGTTTACCCAAAAGTCATTCAGGAACAGGTTGTCCAATTTCCATGTAATTGTATGGTTTTGAGTGAATTTCTTAGTCTTGAGTTCTAATTTGTGCTGTAGTCCAACAGACTGTTATAATTTCAACTTTTTGCATTTGCTAAGGACTGTTTCACTTCCAATTATGTGATCAATTTTACAGTAAGTGCCATGTGGTGATGAGAATGTATATTCTGTTGTTTTTGGGTGGAGAGTTCTATAGATATATATCAGGTCCATTTGATCCAGTGCTGAGTTCAGGTTCAGGTTTTCTTATAAATTTTTTTAAGTTTCTTATTGAGGCTGGAAATTAGATCTTTGTTGAATGCATGGTTTGCAAAAATTTCCTCTCATTATGTAAGCTGTCTGTTCACTGTATTGATAGTTTATTTTGCTGTGCAGGACTCCAGTTTAATTAGATACCATTTGTCAATTTTAGCTTTCATTGCAATTGCTTTTGGCATCTTCATCATGAAATCGTTCCCCGTGCCTATGTCCTGAATGGTCTTACTTAGGTTTTCTTCTAGGGTTTTTATAGTTTGGGTTTTACATTTAAGTCTTTAATTCATCTTGAGTTAATTTTTGGATATGGTATAAGGAAGGGGTCCAAATTTAATCTTCTGCATATTATCTTTGTTAATTTTCTTTCTCAATGATCTAATTTCGTCAATGGGGTATTAAGGTCCCCCACTATTATTGTTTGGGAGTCTAAGTCTCTTTGAAGGTCTCTAAACATTTGTTTTATGAATCTGGACACTCCTGTCTTAGGCACATATATGTTTAGGAGAGTTAGATCTTCTTGTTGAATTGAACACTTTACCATTATGTAATGCCCTTCTTTGTCTGTTTTGATCTTCATTGGTTTTACATCTGTTTCATGAGAAACTAGATTTGCAATCCCTGCTTTTTTCTGTTTTCTGTTTGCTTGATAGACTTTTCTCCATATCTTTATTTTGAGCCTATGTGTGTCACTGCATGTGAGATGGGTCTCTTCAAGACAGTGTGCCAGTAGGTCTTGGTTCTTTAACCAGATTGCCACTCTTTTAATTGGGGGCATTTGGCCCATTTACATTTAAGGTTAGTATTGATATGTGTGGATTTGAACCTCTCATCATGATGTTACCTGGTTATTTTGCAAACTTATTTATGTGGTTGCTTTATAGTGTCACTAGTCTCACTGATATGTAGACAGCATTCTAAGGAATCCACTAAAAAGACTATTAAAATTAAAAACAAGTTGAGCAAAGGAAGGATACAAGATCAATATACATATATTTTTCATTTTTTGAATTCTGTTAAAAACGTAATTGAGGTTTATAATACACAGAAAAGTAAAACATTTGACAGTGGCACAAGGATTAAAGAGATATGAAAAAATTACTAGGTTCTTTCAACATATGTGAATTATAAAATATTAAGATAGATTGTGTTAAGTTAAAGATTTATATCTTAAACCCTAGAGCAACCACATAAACTCATAATAATATAGTGAATAAGCCTATAATAGATATTGTAATCATTAATAATTCACAATCAATTTCAAGAAGTTAAGAAAAAAGAAACGGAAGGTGTATAGCTGCTTCAAGATGAAGCTGAACATCTCCTTCCCAGCCACTGGCTGCCAGAAACTCATTGAAGTGGACGACGAACGCAAACTTGGTACTTTTTATGAGAAGCATATGGCAACAGAAGTTGCTGCTGATGCTCTGGGTGAAGAATGGAAGGGTTAAGTGGTCCGAATCAGTGGTAGGAACCACAAACAAGGTTTCCCCATGAAGCAGGGTGTCTTGACTCATGGCCGTGTCCACCTGCTACTGAGTAAGGGGCATTCCTGTTACAGACCAAGGAGAACTGGAGAAAGAAAGAGAAAATCAGTTCGTGGTTGCATCGTGGATGCCAATCTGAGCATTCTCAACTTGGTTATTGTAAAAAAAGAAGAGAAGGATATTCCTGGGCTGACTGATACCACCGTGACTTGTCGCCTGGGGCCCAAAAGAGCTAGCAGAATCCGCAAACTTTTCAGTCTCTCTAAAGAAGATGATGTCCGCCAGTATGTTGTAAGAAAGCCCTTAAACAAAGAAGGTAGGAAACCCAGGACTAAAGCACCCAAGACTCAGCGTCTTGTTGCTCCACGTGTCCTGCAGCACAAACGGCGGCGTATTGCTCTGAAGAAGCAGCCTACTAAGAAAAACAAGGAAGAGGCCGCAGAATATGCCAAACTTTTGGCCAAGAGAATGAAGGAGGCTAAAGAGAAGCGCCAGGAACAAATTGCGAAGAGACGC